TTTGGAATTGGGACTAAGGAATTTCTGTCTGGCAGAATAAAAGGCACACTCAGAAAGCTGCAAAAAACTGCCATTTCCTACCATGTGAAATGGGTAATCAAAAAAGTCCATCTGCATACGCAGAGAAGCAGGGATGAGGTAAAGAACAAGAGCTTCCTGGTTTCCACGTGGTCCTCCGGACCCTGGCTTCAGTGAGAGACTCACACCCTTCTGCATCCCTGCCCTGGGGTTCCATAACTTAATCCCAAACCTGCATCTTCTAGTGACTTCCCCTGGCTTGCCTAAACCTGCTGAAGAGGATTTACTATGTACAACCAGAAGGCCCTTAATTAAACCTGTTAATAGGGACCCCTGGGTGGCTCAGTCGGTTAAGCGTCCGACTTTGGCTCAGGTCATGAACTCCCCGCTTGTGTGTGAGTTTAAGCCCCAGGTCGGGCTCTGTGCTGACAGCTCAGAGCCTGGAGTCTGCCTCAGATTCTGTCTCCATCGCTCTCTGCCCCTCCCCGACCCATACTCGATCTCTCTCTCAAAAATGAATAAATGTTATAAAAAAATTTTTAAAAACTGTTAATAAAGTCAATTTGGGGATCTCTTTCTTCTCTGTTTCAGTTCACCCCAGAGTTTAAACTCACCTTAAACTTCATCATACCCAAGTTTACCTGCTTCTAAATATTTCATGGCTATGGGGCACCTGGCTGCCTCAGTCAGTAGAGCATGTGACTCTTCATCTTGGGGTCGTGAGTTCAAGCCCCATGTTGGGGGTAGAGACTACTTTAAAAATTTATAATAAATAAATAAATAAGAAAATAAAGAACTTTTTCATAGCCGAAGCCCTACCTTACTCAGGAGATTCCCTGAATTCTACATCGCTGTGTATTTCAAATCTAGGGCCTGCTTGGATTTCTCTACATGAGGTGATTACAATCTATATTTCTCTCTAAGACTAGACTGGGCTAAATAAATATAAATCAGAAATGAATATAAATCAATTCAGTTTCCTTCCTTAAGCAAAGAAACAAGAACACCTATAGATGTGTTTCAAATTAAGGTCTAATATTAGGCTGTATTTACCATGTTAGATAAATTTAAGTGCTTAGTTTTTCATTAATGCTTCTGAAGTAACTTCAACTTTTATTTTTGTGGAATTCGTATTTTTGAAATGGCATTCTTAACCCACTACTTCTAGGTTTAACCGCATATATATTACATTTGACATATTTATTCCCATGCAAACATGTGGCTCCCCAAAGGGAGAAGGGGTATTTCTTTATCTCTGTGTGTCTAGCTACTTCTCTTACAGCACATCAGAGATCAAGTTTTGTGTCGTCTTCTGCACTGCAGCTCATCTGCGGTAACACATCTGTTCCATAAGTTTGTGAGGTCACTAGACGTTACAAAACCAGGGTTTAACAGTGACAGGATTCTCTCTGTCTAATGTTACACATCCTCTGTATCAAACTTGGGATTTTTCAAGACTTCTGGGAATTATCTTTGGCAACTATGTGCTTTAGCAAAAAAGTCTGATTGTTTTGGCTGTCTGTGTCCCATAACAACAGGTAGTCACAGACATCCAGCAGTTTCCTTAGAGTGAGTTGCTTTCTTTATGGTAATCAATTTACTCGGCCCAGCTGTCAGGCACTTGACTTCCCAATTAACAACTGGAAGTAGAACTTGAGCTGCAGGAAGGAAGAAAACTCAGATTTTCCCAAACACACAGTTAATGAAAAATTTAGCCTAGCCTCTACCTCATCTGTGTTTTTCCCATAAAGCGTAAATGTCAGTTTGGAAAACAATATACCTACAGACGTGTCTCTGCACAGGAAAGTTTCACATGATATTTCACTAGGCCCTGTGCCCAACATCCATCACTGAGGAGTCAACATAAATTAATTTAAAATTGGAAGTGAGGCAGCCAAAATTGTTGACCAGCTTCCTCTTATTAATTCAGTGAAAAGACTGAGAGGGCCTACGCCGCAGATCACAGCTTCTAATCTCAAGGAAATAAGCAACAAGGAAGAAAAATCTTTTTTATTTCACGTCTTCTCAAATCTGGAAGAAGAAAAAAAATGTATAATAATGCATGGTGCATACTTTTCTCACCCAACGCTTCCTGGCCGATAGGATTTTCTTCAATGTCACAGAGACTACAAATCAAAGTTAACAAGGCAGGAAGCAATAGGGACTCCTGTTTGTGAGAATGCCTGCAGCAAGGCTTTGCGAGTATCAGCCCAGGTGAACCTAATGCAGCCTTGACTAACCTGCACGGGTGCAAGGACATCCATGCATGGACAAGAGAAAGACCTCTTGTCTATGCAGGGAAAGGAACTATCGTGGGAAAGGGGATTTGAAGACACCAACAAGTCCTTTACTTGGATGTCTTTGAGGGTATGAATCCTGAAATTGCTAATATTACATCTTGAGGAGAGAAAGCATAGCAAGTTTTTCCCCAACATCCTTCTTCCAAGAGCACTGCTCCATCCATGATTAGAAACTCTAATATCCACTTTAAACCGAATAAAGGGTGAGTCCTCTTTACCTTACGGCTTAGGAATGAAAGACACTTGTTTTTAAGTCACTTGTCTAGTTTTAGGGCTAACTGAGAAACTTCTTCACAGCTGACGTGATCATAGTCTGCTAGAATGTAGAAGTATGGAGTTCTAAGTGCAAAGTGCTTGTGGAATGGAAGCCATTGCCCTGGACTGCCTCTGAAGACCACAACCATATAGAGGATATGGGCTGTGATGCATATCTCTTTCACCTAAGTCTCTTACACAAAGAATGTTGGGGAAATTTTTCAGGACAGAAAAGAGTTATGTTAGTCATTCAAACAAGTTTTCATTTCCACACTAGGAAGCAGGGCAGATGCCCTTTGGAAAACGACTGTGTCATTAGATTCAACTGTCGTTGAACCCATAGCACATGCACCCAATGTGAGTCAACAAAAACATTCAGAAGGGTCACTGTTGTCCACAAAGATCAGTAAATGTGCATGGCTGTATGGCCATATTCTATTTGAGGGATATCATTATTATATAGGAAATGATTTCATACTTCAGCGTCTCAAATCACATCTGTTAAAAGGGTCAGGATAAAATGTCTTCCTTAAAGAACATCTTTTCACAGGGCCGCTGGGTGGCTCAGTCAGTTAAGCATCTGACTCTTGATCTTAGCTCAGGGTCATGAATTAGAGCCCTGAACTGGGCTCCACACTGGGCATGGAGCCTACTTTAAAAAAAAAAAAAAAAAGTTTCTTGAAATCTTATTCTTGCATGTTATCTTTTGGTGCCATCCCAGCTCTCCCTGCTCACAATACTGGTTGCATAGCAAACTCTGAAACAGAAATAGCATACACTAGGATCCTACCAACAAGAGTCGCTGTTGATAGAGGGTCACTGCCATACGAAAGCCTATGCCATGCAAGAAGAATCAGAGAGCTGTGTGACCCCTCCGAACTGACTAGAAAAACAACAGGCATTATACTCTACGTCACTGAGACTTTTTGACACAGGAAGGAGGGCTCAAGTATATGAAAATATGTTGGCAGGAACATCATTTTATTTAAACTTTCACCTTTTGAAAATCAGTACAGTCTTGCTAGACCTCCCATCTGCTTAAGAGAAGCTGAACCATCACTGTGAAGTTTAGAAAAACAGGGCTATAGGGGCGCCTGGGTGGCTTAGTCGGTTAAGCGTCCGACTTTCGCTTAGGTCATGATCTCGCGGTTCGTGGGTTCGAGCCCCGCGTCGGGCTGTGCGCTGACTGCCAGCTCAGAGCCTGGAGCCTGTTTCAGTCTGTGACTCACTCCCTCTCTCTCTGACCCTCCCCTGCTCACGCTGTCTCTCTCTCTCCTAGAAATAAACAAAACATTAAAAAAAAAAAGAAAGAAAAACAGGGCTATCATAAGGATGTAATGACTGTATCATGCTTTATCTGTAATAAATCATATTCCCCTGAAGTTCCAGTGTGTGCTAAATTAACATCAAAGGAAAGAAATTCTTAACCCCACCAACTGGCAACTACAGGAATTTCAACTGTCCTGATATAATGGCTCTAAGTAAATCACTATTCATTTCTTACTTCCCAACCTACTGGTAAACCAGAGACACAGTCAGATTTGCTGATGAAATTACCAGGAAGGAGTCTCCCTAATATATTTCCTGCTTTCATCCTCTAAGCACAGCAAGTTACAATCTGAAAGAGCTTTTGACTCATATTAGTATTTTGAACAGAGTTTCTAAAAATCACCTTTAGTGAGCTGAGGCTGGGGTATGACTTGGTAACTATTATTATTGGTATAACTTTTCTCTCCATGCTCTGAAAGCCATACTTTTGAGTTTTACCTGTTTTGAAGAGGCAGTGGGAGACCGCATGGAAAAGAACCCAAAATACATGAATTTCCAATTATAACCCATTTCTCTTACTGCTGACGGGCTGGGATTACATTTATATACTACCAAAATATTATTCATTCATCGCAAGAACTTAGATTAATTATTATAATATTCCAATATGAAATTTTCTCTTCATAAAATCTCTTATTGCCACTCTATTGGTAATTACTTCAAGTGCCATCTCAACTGCTTATTAAATTAAGAAAAATATTTTTAATGGTTCTTAACGAATACAGTACAAATACACACAAAAAGAAAGGTCCTCTATCAAGAAAGAATAGATATTTTGATCAATTAGTAGAAGTGCTTTGAATGTCATTAGAACCCACTTAAGATTATGACCTGCATCATCTCAGAAAGCAACAGTGTTTTCCAACAATTTCCAGGAAAAGAAGGCTGTATTTCAGGAGACAGGTACACAGTGAATGTCCGCAAACAGACTCGGACACACAACACAGGAACGTGAGCCCAGGCATCCAGTCATTCCTGAATTCACCTCAATAATGAGCTCTTGCCACCATTAGGCTAATTATAACCCATGCAGGAAGCAGCCCAGCTGGCTTCAAATGAAATGAGCAGAATGTGAATATTTTAGAATAAATCAAGTACCTGATAGTTTCATGAGAAGTTCGGACGCTGCTTTGACGGACATATCCGGCCTTAGCACATTCCCCTTCCCCTCCTGGGGCTTAAGGGTATCCTCAGAGATGCATGGGGCTGGCGCTTCAGATTCCGGGCTGAACATGTAGCTGGAGCGAGGTAAAGTGGCACTCAAGGCCTCTTCTTCCTTCGGCTCCTCTTTCACTTTAAAGTTAAGATCCATGGGCTCCTTCTGATTTGCAGCTGTCAGAAGAAGAGAGGTATTGTATATATACATATATAAAAGGCCACACCCCTTCTCAGCTGTCCCCAGACTTAATGAGATGTGGAATGCATAATCAGTGCATTGATCACAACCCGATCAAAATAGTATGGGACCTGGGCAGAAAAAATACAACACACTCCATGAGCATCTTCAGAATCTATCATATTTGAAGAAGTGCTGCCTCTACAAAGTGGTCATTTTCCCTCTAGTTTCCCTAAATGTCTTCTTTCCTTTATATGCTGCGGCCTCCCTGACCTATGAGCATTCTTCCCACTTAATCCTATTATAAAATAATGCTTTCAGGCAATTATCCTGCCAGAAAATATTCAACATAAACATGAGTCAGAGGCAGTCCCCAAAGCAAAAACCTGGGGTGGGGTGGTAAGGTGATGATGAATTTGCCACATAAAAGCTCAGACTGGAGACACCCCACACTTGCCTTATTATAAACTGACGCTCCTGACCCTCAAACACTGGGGCACACATTTGGAACTGTTTCCCAGTCACGGTGAATAAATCCACATCTGCGGTTCAAGTCATCTCTAAGCCCACGATGGGCACTTTTTTAAGGATTTTATTTTTAAGTAACCTCCACATCCAGCGTGGGGCTTGAACTCACAACCCCGAGATCAAGAGTCACACGCTCCACTGACTAAGCCAGCCAGACGCCCCTCTTGATGGGCATTTTTTAACAGAAAATCTTTTATTTTGAAATGATTTTGGAATTCTAGACAAGTTGCAAGATGGTTCAGGAAGTTCCCATATATTCTTCGCCCAGCATTCCCCAATGCTCATCTCTTACTTAGCCATGGTGCGTTTGTCAGAATTCAGAAATTCACATTGCTATGATCCAAACTCCAGATTTTATTCAGATTTCACCAGTTTTTCCACTAATGTCCTTTTTCCATTTTTAGCATGGTTGATTGGTGTGGAGTGTGCGGTCAGGGCAGAGCTAACTGGTCTATTATGGGATGGATTCTGTGGCTTGGCTACACCACAACAGGCCTTCACCCACTGAGCTACTCAATCCCTGGGAAAGACCAAGAAGGAAGACAAGCACCTCTTCCACCACTGGCCACTTTCCCCGGCATCTTGCTCCCCTTCAATGGGCCTTGCAGTAGGAACTTTAGGTTGGTTACATTAGTTGGGTTTGTCTTTTGAGAAAGAAGATTTCATCCTAATACACATTTCTTAGTAACACTTATTACAGTGAACCCAGAGCCCATTCCTGTTTAACAAAAAAAGAAGATGATGATAAACCCCCAAAAGCTTTTGCCTTATTGCCCACCGCCTACCCTAACCAGTATACCACCATAAAGTCCTTTCTCCCTTGTTCCCTCTAAGGGTACACATTCTGGAATCACAAGTTCACACAGACCAGCACATTTAGAAATTAGACCTTGGAAGGCTAAGGTGACATTTGAAAGTTTTACCACCAGAGAGATGCGGAGCTGGGACTAGAACCTAGTTCTATCAGCTGCCCACCCTACATTCTTTACCGGCCTCCACTTCTGGTTGGTCCCTGGGTTATAACAACATGTGAATGTAACTTGACCTTCAAGTACCACCTTCTCAATGACGTCGACCCTGACTATCCTATTCAGAATTGCAATCCCCACCCCATAGTAAACCCAGTCTCTCTTACCTTACTTGAATCTTCTTTTTTTTTTTTTCCAAAATATTTATCACTTGATAACTTATTGTTAAGGACTGAATTGTACCCACCCCCACTAGTTCTTATGTTGAAGCTCTAACCCACTTTGTGGCTCTACTTGGGGAGATAGGGAAATAGTTCAAGTTATATGAGGCCATTAGGGTGGGGTTCGAACCTGGTCTGAATGATATCTTGTAAGAAGAGACAGCAGGGATGCATGCACACAGAGGGAAGATTATGGGAGGACACAGCAAGAAGGTGGACATCTTCAACCAAAAAGGGTAGCCTCAGGAGAAACCACACTTGCCATATCAGACTTCCATATCAGATATCAACATATCAGACTTCCAGCCTCCAGAACTGTGACAGATAAGTGTCTTTTGTTCAAGTCACCAAGTCTTTGGTACTTTGTTACGGCAGCCCAAGCAGACTAACCATATACCATATAATTTTTTAATTTATTATGTTAATCATTATGGTCGGTTCCTCTAACTCAAGGGTAGGCTTCAAGAAGGCAACGATCTTTGTTTTACAACTGATGTATCTTGAGCACCTAGAACAGTGCCTGGCACATAGTAGGTGCTCAATATATATTTGTGGAATTAATAAAATATGTTAGCTACAAATTAGTGACATCTGATGGTGCTTCACTATTACTTGTGGGAAATAAAAACTAGGAATCCCAAAATATTGGAAGTGTCTTCCTTGGATCTGTTCATTAGACTGAGAATAAAACCTATAGCTAAAGATAAAAGGTTTGCTATCTACACCACAGCACTTACTGAAGTGTCTGTGAATAATCATTCATTTGGACTCAGGCATTACTAAAGGAGGAGTCCAGAAAATTTTCAAGAAAAGTGCTTAAAATCCGGTCATTTGGGGCACCTGCCTAGCTCAGAGAGGAGAGCATGTGACTCTTGACCTCAAGGTTTTGAGTTTGAGCCCCACACTGGGCATAGAGATCACTTTTCTAAAAACTTTTTTTAATGTGTTATATATTTTCGAGACAGAGAGAGACAGAGCATTAGCGAGGGAGGGGCAGAGAGAGAGGGAGACGCAGAATCTGAAGCAGGCTCCAGGCTCTGAGCTGTCAGCACAGAGCCTGATGCAAGGCTTGAACTCACAAACATGAGATCATGACCCAAACTGAAGTTGGACCCTCAACCGACTGAGCCACCTTAGCGCCCCAAGATTACTTTTAAAAAATTAAAAATACAATACAATTTGACCCTTTGAGGACAATGCTATCAGAATCTAAACCAAAAAGAAAAATGATGGTCCCTAGAGTAATCCTCATGTATCTGACCTCAACCAGGAGGGGAGCTCCTAAGAGGACATTGTTTATTTAACATACTTCTCCTCCCCATTCAACCACTTTCGGGAGGGAGGGGGTTCTGGCCACCTCCTAAATCTTCTCTGGCCCTATTCCTTTCTTCCAGAACCCTTCATAAAATCCTTCTCCAAAAGTATCGAAGTTAGTCACAACAGAATAATTAAGTGGTGTGTTGTCTATGAAGTCTGAGACTGTGATTCTTTGGGAAGGAAGGAATAATATAAAGTTATGTACTTTTAAAAGTGTTTCTGTATCTTTTATTTTAAAACTTTTAAAATTCGAAGATAAGGTTAGAAAAGAGATAAGCTATGGAAGTCCAGAATCAAATCCCAATTTCTGGAGAGAGCAACCTTAAGCTGATGCTCTCTGAAGATGTAACTAGCTTCTGAAGTTATTAGTCACGATACATGCTACATAAGATTTGAGAAAAAAAATTAGCATTGTTAGTACAACCCAGATTTAACAGAACTTCAGTAAGACATTTAAAAAAACAACAGGCAAGCTAATATGGTGTTGGATTATAAATGTGCAGACATTTCATACATGGTTTTCATTCTGACAATGTCAAGAATGACATAAAACTAGTAATGTGCTAGGGAAATGTAAATATAGCTAATAACAGATCACAAAAAAATGTGGGAAACACTCATTTGCCCAAGTTTTAATTTCCCAAACACTCATAATTTCCCAAACAGACGTAAAATAGAAATATGAGGGCTATCCTCTTATTTAAAATTTTTTTTAAATGTTTGTTTAATTTTGAGAGACAGAGAGAGAGACAGAGTGTGAGCAGAGGAAAGGCAGAGAGACAGACACACACAGAATCTGAAGTAGGCTCCAGCCTCCGAGCTGTCAGCACAGAGCCTGATGCAGGGCTCAAACCTAAAAACTATGACATCATGACCTGAGCCAAAGTCAGATGCTTAACCGACTTAGCCTCTTATTTTTTAATTATCAGAAATATTTATACTAAAAACAGTACACAAAGCTTACATTTTAAAATTAATCTGACTGAACAATTGCCATAGTTTTTTATTATCTTACTTTTGGGTTTTTTAAATCTTACTTTTAAAAAAACCCATTCCCTTTCTACAGAAAAAAGTGGAATTAAAGATTTTTGTTTGTTTGTTTGTTTGGGAAAACTGCTAAGAAAAAAGGAACTATTTAAAATCCACTGCCTAGTCTTTACTTCTTTCTTCCCAGCACAAAGATCTGTGAACATATGGGACTCAATTCATAAAAGACTTTGATAGCCCTTACCCTGGCTTCTTTTTATGTATCCTAAAGTCTCCAGATACTCCACTTTTAATGCAGTGAGGAAGCCCCATTAATCAAGAGGCCCCTTCTCCATTCCAAACATTTTAGGGCCTGGGCCACTTTGATTGTAAATTATGTGTATCTGTAAGTTCACACACTCAGTTGAGCTGGGCTGCCACTTAAAGGAAACAAATAATCTTTTTGAGGATTTATACAGGACGTAAGATAAAGGTTCATATGGGAAATGAATGGGAAAGCCACTGGGATAAAATTATTCCAAATTTCCAAATATAATAGGCAGAGATTAATTAAGTATTAAAAAACCCCTCTTTATAGCAAAGTGTCAACAGTTCATGTTGAGATCCCTTCTAAGTCCCCCAATTCCCCCCAGGGCAATTCTACAAGCGTCCTTAATAATAATGCACACACCTAGCATTTGAATAGTTAACAGGAAATGGTCCTTCCATCATTCACAGGAGGTAAGTGTTATTACCGTCCTTATTTTATAAGTGAGGGAACTAAGGTCCTAAGAGGTTAAGAAACCAAACCTTCCAGATAACAGAGACACCAGGCTTCAGGATTTCTGGCCGAAAATGCACCTAAGCTCTCTCCTTCCTCTCCAAGCACCTCTGAGAGGGATACTATCCTAAGCGGTTGGATTATGGGTTTTGGAAATAAGAGATTCGGAGTGAACAAGGCTTTGTTAATGGGAAAGGGAAAGGTGGGACATGACA